GTGGTAAAGCGGTCGAGGCGTGAAGCTGACCATTCACCTCCAACTAGCGCCGAGGTCAAGAAAGCGCGGGTCTATACATCCACTCCCATAAGCCTTTATGGCGTAGTTCTTACTTAGTTAAGCACAGGAACAATTTTCCTGGGAAAGAAATGCATGTTGATAATATTATTTTATTCTTTATGAGTACTCCTATTTTGTGTTCATTTCTGTTGCTCAGAAACAAAGACTGCACTGTACGAGTATACCCTGCCAAGTAATACAGTACATTAAATTAAGCTCCTTTGGATTCTCTGATGTTTACGTTAGCTGGTTTCGAAGTTGCTCATCCAACAGATGATTTTGATTCAAATTACATTTTCATAATCATGTTTATTTCTTATTTTCTGAATGCTTTATGCAGCCAAACTCGTTTTGTAATTATCAGGGCCCGGATTTTGATATGTCATCTTTTTTTCCTTGTATCCTATGCGATGCTCTTAAATATAAATCTCGGATATGAGCTGTTGGTTACATAAATTTAAATTTTATAGGTAATTTTTCGTCATTTTTTGACATTTTTAGGTTTAGGTCATTTTTTCATTTGTGGGGTAAATTTTTGGACTTTTAAGAGTATTTCTGGTCATTTCTGTGAATTTTTCTTCATATGTTTTCTGAAATGTGAATAACATGGAAGCGAAGTGTTCTTTCTTTTCTCCTTTAGGTCATTTTTCTGGATTTTTTCGGTCATTTTATAGGTCATTTTTTGAATATTTTCATGTTATCAAAATCCGGGTCCTGCATATTACATTTTTGGGTCATATTTCAGGTGATTTTTCTGGACTTTTTCGGTCATTTTTTTTAAATATTTTCAGGTCATCAGAATCTGGGCCCTGGTAATTATGAATCAATGTTGAATTATTTACGTTTTGAACGCTTTATCCCAGCCGACAAAACCTTGACGCTTTATTTCTTACTAACATTTGCAGAAACAAAATTGACTATTGTTCTATTATGGATATTGTTGGTCTCCGTGTACCAACTAAGGGCTTTCCCATCTTTAACTTCAGTAATGTCTCAAGAATTAACCCTTCAACAAAGTACGTCTCGGCTGCAAACAAAATCTGCAAATCTCTGGGCGTTTTCAATAAGCACAACATGTCCCTTCAGGATACATTGTCCTTTGGTTAATCCTGCTGAGTTACGTCATTATCATCTTACCTGTATTGTTTTATTACGTATTATTAAGTTTTAGTCAAGTTCTAGTCCTAGTTCTAAACTTAATCTTGCTTTTGCTAAGTAAACTTTCAGTGCTCGCCTGTTATGGGCCACTAGCTGTTGAAAAACACTTAAATAAAGGAACTGAATTATTATTATTATTATCATCACATCATAAATTATAACTTTGATTTTTATTACTATTTTATTACCATCATCAGCATTACTCAGATGTTATGAATTGCATTGTTTTGTACTTCGTGTGTGTGTTTGTTTCTTACACTCGTCCTCAGTTTGTAATTGGACCTTGGGTTGCTGAGTTAGCACGCAAATAAACAAGAAGTCAATGAAATTATGATCGTCATCAGCATCTCCGCTGCATGGTTTTCAGACCAAAGTCAAGAATTTTAAAAAAATCAAGTAGATTTATTATTATTATTATTATTATTATTATTATTATTATTATTATTATTATCATCATCATCATCAACACGACTCTCGTCATAATTACCACCAACATCACATGACTTTAAACCTAAGACAAATTTGTGCATGTGATCACCGTTCTATAATTATCACATTATTATCTCACTGTCATTATCACATAAGGAGATTAACTCAAGGTGAGATGGGTTGGGAGATGAGAAGTCCACGTGTGCAAAGAATTAGAGAATAGAACACTTGAGAAATCAAGACGTAAATATGAGGACAGTATTAAAATATATTAAAAAACATATTTATCGGTTTTGATCAACGCGTTGCCAGGTAACAGCTTTGTAAACAAGGTCCAACACAAAACAATAGATGAGGCTGTGTTTTCCATATCGTCTCCGCTACGCCCAGTGCTGGTAACGGACCAATGAACTCGCAGTCTGACACGTGATATGTGTCTTCTGTGTGCTCTGCACCATTCAACAATAGAAGGGCTGTGTTTTCTGTGCGTGGTCCGTGCCGAGCGGATATAAGATAATATGGGAATGGGAACGGATCATTCTAATTATACTTGGAGAAGAGTAAAAGTTATGAAGCTCTGATTACATATACACCACACATAATTGTAGTATTATTTTGTTGCTGAATATGCTTGAAATTAACATGTGGCATATGCCAAGAGAAGGTAGCCAAATACAGTATATCTTACGAAACTTATGGATATGTGAACTGAAACATTCGCATAGGTATACTGATGTATTATATACATAGATCTGTCAAGTGTCCACTTGGGTTATCCTGTTGTTTATAGATTAGATCTCTCGACACGATTGTGCCGATCTATATGGACATCTATGTGAATGTTTCGAAAAGGAAAGAAATCTCCCAAGCCGTTATAAATCAAGTGATACTCCACGATAAATGACAGCTATCACAGAACACACACACACAAACAAATGACTGCTTACTCGATTTTCATCTAGTACATAACTTACATTCATGCAACATACTAACGCCTGACAGTTGTTGCTATAGTAACCCGAAATTGCTTAATTTCGGAGCGTTCAACTCACTGTTATTAAACCTTCCACATATATATATATAAGGATAAATAAATATAATATGATAAAAACAAATATATAACTAATACATTAACCTTCTTACCATAATAAAACTATAATGCTTATGTACAAAGAAACCAAAGTGATGTCAGCGAGCAGTTTAGGATATTACCGAAGGAATTTCGTGATTCATATAGCTCAACTGTCATTGTGAGATTGGTAAATTTAAGGGAGAATATGTGCTGGATGTGTTACTTCAAAGAAGAGAAATGCCTACAGAAATTTGATGGAAACTTTTCTTGATAAATGACCACTTAGATGGGAAAATAATATGAAGTTGGACTTCAGGACCACATGCTGTCAGAATGGGAGGTGGATGAGACTGGCTTAGGATTATGTGCAGTGGATTACGTTGATCTAAGAGTCGTTGAACCTTCTGGATTCCATTAATACAGACTTCATTATATAGTTGCTCAGGTAAAAGCCTGTAATTACTTACTGCCTTAGTGGGTCAATTATTCTGTTAAACTGAAATGTGCTCACCATATCACGTGAACACCGTGTAAATCAGGCGTATTTTTCACCCAAATTTGAAACAGAGTAGCTAATTCCGCTAATTTATAAAAAAAACAAAAAACAAACTCCGTGCCCTGTAGTCCGTAAGCTAACTATACCGACCGAGTGACCGCCGTTTGTCGGCGAAGTTAGTGCCATCTTTAGCGGATAGAAGGTGTCGCATGGTCGGCGCAACGGATCCCCACGGCCATTAATCTCTGTTTTATAGACCAGAGCCCCTACTTTTCCATTCAAGTAGCTCCTCAATTATCCTCACGAGGCTAAGTGGACCCAGTTCCAGACCCATTACTTCTCAGAAAATCTGGTAGCGCCGAGAATCGAACCCGGGCCTCTGGATCTGTAGGCAGGAACTCTGACCACTAGATCACAGCGGCGGTCCGTTTATTTATAATAATGCAGCTAAAATCAGCACTTGGTCATAAGTAATTTGTTCTCAGACGATTTGATTAATCAGTAAATGGAGCGAAAGCTCAATATATAATTTTTATACTGTCACGTGTATTAGTGACTATAGACGGGGTTTGGATTGGTGAATAGATTTATTGACCACGTTTTTTTTTTCAATGGCTCTTCCAGCACATTCAGGGCCCAGGCCTTTTATTCAGTTCCATAATCAGTTTTCACGGACGGTAGGACTCTTGGATGGGTTATCAGCCTGTCGCAAGGACTACCTAAATACAGGACAATGCAAACACAGAATAAAAGCATACATCAAACATCCATGTCTTGAGTGGGATTCAAACCCACGATCCCAGCGTCCGATCGAGCGAAGATAGTTCATGCTTTAGCACGGCTACTGTGACCGGCATTTATTGACCACTTACAGGTCGTAACTACAAATAACTAATTGTATTACTGCCAATTTCCACTCTACAAATCGCTCCACACTGAGCCTTGTCCCTCCTTTCCCTAGTCTTTACCGTGGTAACAGGTCTCCACAATAACTACTCAACTGCAATGTCTTCACTAGACGTTTCGTAGTAGCTAATCTTAGCAATGGAGATTCTTCAGCTTCCGTTGCCCGCCGGTTAACACTCCACAGCTGAACCCTCAACTGCTTACACTCCGTTGTACTCCTTGTACTCCTTTCGTATTCCCTAGTTCTCCTGACTGTGCCCTCTTATGATTCCTCGGTACGGACCCCACGGAAAATTGTCTTCTTTTGCCAAGAATGCGAGTTTATTGCTCCATTACCTAGCAATGAATGTCCTTCTATTGTTGAGAGCGTAGTTTAGGGAATGTGTTTACCAAGCCGTTGCCTAGCAATGGATATATGCGTCACAATATTATAACGGTCACTCTTTCAATAGTGTAAGAATTAAGTAACTGTCTCCATAGTATGAAGTCGTCTTTCAGCAGCTAATAGTTGCTCAGTTGGTCAACAAATTCTCATCTCTTTATGGAACCCAAAAGGGCACTGCAGTGTTCACAGGGGTCCGCTTTTAAATTGTCATCATTCAGTTTACTCCAGATCATACCGAAAGCTCTATTTCATTTAAGACATTCTTGACCATACCGGAACTCGAACTCCAACCCCTCGGTCGTCCAGCCCGTAGGCAGTCGCTATACCGACTTCTGATATTTTGTTTACTTAGTTACTTACTCAGTCATGGAGCTGAGCCTTTCTTGAGGACCACCTCTTGCCGGGTGTCCGCGACTCCTTATTCAGTACATTCGCAGCTTCCCTACAGATATTTTGTTTACTGTGTTTAAACGTTCACTTACCGTTTGTTACAGAATCTGCCCTATATTGGGCGCCATGGCGGACACATGCGGCCTGGGACCCTGCTTCCGACCGGTGTGGCTGCGAAAGTACGCAACACCCCGCTGTTTCCTGTTAGTGTATGGCCTGCTGGGTACCATACAAGCGATGGCGTACATTTACTTCGTGGCCACTCTTACGACTCTGGAGAAGAGGTTCAAGATACCCAGTAAGACGACAGGTATGGCCTGATTCCATTCTGTGGCGGATAAAAGGAGAATAAGTTCCGTGAGGTTTTTCACGCATTAAAAACATGGACTATCATCAGCTTTTAATTTATAGTATTTAAATCGAAATTGATCCTCATAAACCGAAAATAAAAGTTGAGTCTTAATCATAATTTCAGATGGAATGCAAAGTTATTGGAACCATAAAATACATAATTACTGATTTCATTTGCTACATCTGTAGCTACGTGTACAAAAATGGAATAAGGCCCACTCCAGATTTTACTTAATGCTTTTCTTGACACCGTAAGAACACATGTCGTAATTTATAGTACCGTTCCGAAAGTTATCCATATTTGGAATTGCATGAATCTTGATACAGGCCTTACTCACTTACTTACATATAGAGCTGAGCCCTTCTTGAGGAGAAGCCAAATCTGCAGCTACTCAAGAATTTCCCCGCATTTTATGGAACCCGAAGGTTTATTACCGTGTTCACAAGAGCCCTCCACCTGTCCCTATCCTGAGCCAGATCAATCCAATCTATACTATCCCATCCTATCTCTCTAAGATCCATTTTAATATTGTCCACCCACCTACACTTTGGTCTTCCCAGTGGTCTCCTTCCTTCTGTCTTTCCTACCAATATCCTCTTCTCCCCATTCGTGCTGCATGCCCTGGCCACCTCATCCTATTGATATTATCAACACTGACTAGATGTAATTCATAAATAGGCCTTGATATATTCTAATTGCAGTGTATGTTACGTGTGTTGCAGGTATTGTGATGAGCGGAAATGAGATCAGTCAGATCGTTCTGTCACTAACGCTGTCTTACTACGGGGGTCAGGGGAACAGGCCACTGTGGATCGCCTGGGGCGTTGCTTTCTCCGGATTATCCTGTTACATATTGGTTCTGCCACACATGGTATACGGACCAGGAAAGAATGCGCTGGCTCTCACGGAAGAGTATTTTGACACACACTTTTACAACATGACATCTGAGGTTCGAGGTCAGTATCACACTGAGTAAGAATTATAAGAACATACCGTATACGACAGCGGCACGCGGTAGTGTAGTTGGTTGAGGCACTGTGCTACAAGCCAGAAGGTCGCGGGATCGAATCCCAATGAGCTGGATTTTTTCAATTGACCTAATCTTTCCAGCCGCACTATGGCCTTGGGGTCGACTCAGTCTCTAACAGAAATGAGTACTAGGAATATTCTTCGGGGTAAAGAGCGGCCGGCGCGTAAGGCTGACAATTCTACCGCCATCTGTGAGCCGATTGTCTAGATAATGTGGAAACCTCAACATCTCACAACCCTGTGGGCCTCCACGGCCTGGTACAGGGATACCTTTACTTTTTACTTGTTTTACTGTATATGACTTGGGATCTTTGCTTTGTTCACTGACTCTCGCCGTGCACTTCGTTGCATTTTTCAGCATGATAAGATTATAATGACACAACAGTCGAGGTGGGTACATCTGGTAAGAATAAGATAAGTACTTTGTTTACTTGCTCTCGTCTTGCACCTTATAGCAATTTTCAACCTGCGAGAGTCGAGACCGGTACCATATGGAGTAAGAACAACATGATCGTCCTGTGTATGACTTCAAAACTTTTCCACCCCCGTAGAGACATGCACTAGCATAACATGGGATATAACGATCAAATCAGTTCCACATTTAATAAGAATATTCTGATTTTGTAACCAAATAGCATCACAACTTCATTGACATGCTGTCTCGGTGTTTCACAAGAGGGCAGAGCCTTGTTCGGTAGAGTTCGATTACAATGTGACGGCACATGCGCAGAAGATAATTTTCGTTTTAGGGCTGAAATGAGGAGTCCACGTTCACTTAGAGAAGATATAAGGGACAGACAGTTTATTTAGCTTCCGGCAACCGATTTCTGACTTGGAGTGGCTAGTAACGGGATTACTTTGCTATCCCGTTACCCCTTCACTTCATTTCCTTCTTGCAGGCTTATGCCATCACATAGTAATCGAGCTCTACCACTCTGAGGATTAATAAAATCATACTGTACAGCACTGAGCACTGGCTATTCATACACATTTACATGCTTGAGAACACAATCATTTTTGTGAATAACGTTCCTCTGTTACAGATGATTCGCTGGCTGTATGTTCGGCTACAAGCTACGACAAGACGTGTGAGGAGATGGCGTCCATAATGCCGCTCGTCCTCATCTTCCTGTCTCAGTTTGTGCTGGGAATAGGATCCACGCTCTACTACGCCCTGGGACAGCCCTATTTGGATGATAATTCCAAGAAGACGCAAACACCAATGCTGCTAGGTATTATGAACTTAAGAGCATGGTACAGAATCGCATGTCTAAAAGTTGAGTGTTATGCAACTGGCCAGATAACCCAATACATTTATAGAACCCAAACGTTCATTATCGTGTTTAAAAAAAAGAGTTCCGACATAGGATCCTTATTGAGCCTGCTAAATCCATTCTCCGCTTTCTCATTCATTCATACTTTCTTTAATCTTTCCATTATGTTTGTTCCATTTCTTCCTACCATCCGTTCTCTTGCTTTGTTTCTTTATCCCTTCTTTCCCTTCGTATCTTGTTTGCTCGTTTCTTCCTTTAATATTACTTTCCATTTACTTCCTCAGCAGTCCACTGAAGTGTTATGAACACGTCATGTTTATTAAAAACGGCCCTGCGTTACGCCTGATAAAGACAGAGATGCACTGAGCTTGCACAGCCACTATGGAGTATGTTGTTTTGGTTCATGTAGTAGTTGCTGATTCATGTTGCTTGCCGCGCCTTTCATGGTTCTGACTTCCTGCATTCCTCAAAACTCTGAAGATTAGAGTCTTGTACTGTACTTGAAGAAAGCAGTCTTCTGGGATTTGGCACCATGTATATGTGGTGATAACAGACGTTTCGGAGAAACGATGGAGGCGATACGTTCCTCCGAAACGTCGGTTAACACCACATATACACGGTGCCAAATCCCAGAAGACTGCTTTCTTCATAGTCACCGCCGTGAAAGCCTCAAATCTTACATTGCACTGTACTTGTCTTCCATTCGAAAGCTGTGTTGCAGTGGTTACCGGTTTTGGTTCACGAGATCCTAAGTTCGAATATTAACCCGTAGACCGCCTACTTAACCGAGGGTTTTTGTGTTTTCCCAGGAAAATTATACAATACGAACGTATATTTCGATATCCTTTCTGATTCATTTTAACCATCATCATTAGTCTATATTCGAAGCTATACCTCTGTAATTTTTATTAGCGGAGAAACGTCTTTAAATAAATAAAATAGTTTTTTTCGGACTTCAATTCCATTCTACTTTCCGTTTCCGTTTAGGATTAATTCAATAACATGTCATTCTTTGTTGCAATGAAATCCATTTCAGTTTAATTAAGGGTTTCATAGCCTACTTATTTATTGTCCTTTTTGCCGTATTAAACGCAACACTTATTTTCGTCTTTTCTATATCTTATTATACAAATTTTTTTTCGGCCTCAATCGGCCATCATCAAGTGTATACTCTTGCTAAAACGGTTGCACTGTCATGTTTTTGTATGTCGCTTGTAAACGCGTTGTTATTTTTATTTTTAAAATCATTCAAATTTCATAAAATCGCTGACTAATCCGCGCTGCATCTGGTTGTGAGGTGTGGGTGATATGTTATTTTTGTTACGGTGATACGTTGATATTAACTGACTGCTCAGTCGCTGAGTGTTGCATTTAAGATGGTGGTTACACGTACGTACTAGTGCAACAGGATGCTAAGTACAACATACAGTTAGTTGTTAAAGCAACTAGGCTAAGGGCCCGACGACCGACGAATCGGGGTTCGATTACTGGGAAGGATAAGAGAGATTTCTCTTCTAAATTGCCCCCAGACCGGGTCTGGGGCACACCCGGCCTCCTATACAATGGGTACCGCGACTGGTTCCCCGGAGACAGAACGTCAGGAGCGTGAGTGCAGAGGTCAACAATGGTGAAGCTATGCCCCTACTCACAATTATGTCTTCATGGTATAGTGCTTGCTTAATTAAGCACAGGGAAGACTTTGCTTTTGCTTACTTCACAGAGAGATGTTATCATTCCAGCTGTGCTTTGGTGCGCTCCCAAGAGATTTGCCAACCGAAATATTTTACTGCAGGTCTTACCTTTCCAATGCATACTAAAAGCCTAGCCCATAACATTTGCTTAACCACTAGATCAACACTGAGTGAAGAGCTTAAATTGCTAACTTGCCTCTGTGTTAAGCCTCGATTACCTTGAAGTGTATCTTACTTTCAATACCAATGCCATGCAAATAGCGAATTGTTCTCAAAGTGGAGACAGACAATAGACAGTGATTTCATCTCAAGAAGGCACTGACCTATGTACAGCGATAAATTTTTACATGTCCATGTAAGTCGCAACTGGAGGTTACTGGTAGGTAGCCAGTATCATCCAACATTGCAGGCCTCTTTGACTGCGAATGGATTCAGAAGACTGGTTCTTTCCCATCTCGCGACCCTTTCTAATATTCTTAAGTACCACACATTAGCCCCTTTCCCTTTCTACATGTCCAGTAAATTTCTTTGAGAAACATGGATCTAGTCTTTCTTGATTAGTTCATAATTAATCAGATGTTAAAATAATCTTCTGCTTTCCTGATAACATACTGTTTCTTTCTGTGTTGAAAGATGGTAGCCTTTCATGCCGGTGCTCGCGATAAAAAAAAAAAGCTATCGCTGTAACAGGCCGTGAAGACCCATAGGGTTGTGAGACGTTGAGGTTCCCACATTTTCTAGACAATCGGCTTAAAGATGGCGGTAAGGTTGTCAGCCTTAGGCGCCGGCCGCGCTTTACTCCCCACGAAAATTATTTGATTAATTCCTGGTACTCATTTATGTTAGAGACTGAGTCGACCCCAGGGCCATAGTACGGCTGGAAGGATTAGGTCAATTGAAAAAAAATCAAATGACCTCATCGGGACTTGAACCCGCGACCTTCCGGCTTGCAGCATAATGCCTCAACCAACTACACTACCGCGTGCCCGATAAGTATCAGTCCAATATTCACATCACACATCTTAAAAATCAGTCTCAGCATTATTCCTCCATGCATGTTCATATATTGCGATTTTCCAGCGTTTCTTGTTCCCTACCATGCGTGCTACATGCCTTACATGTCCCATCCACCTAGTATTTTATCCTTCTCAGAGCAAAATGCTCATGTAGCAGCAACATGTAGCACAACCTGTTATTTCAGGCAGTGATGGACAGTAAACTGTGGAGGGGGGGGGGGAACACAAAGAGAAAGGAACGGAAAAATAATGTGATAATATTATGATAAAGAATGGCTGGTTTTTCCATTAGAAGTATGTCATTACTGACAGTGACAAGCTTTCCAAGACTCCTCGGTGCAATGACCTACATCACCAGCATTTTTGCAGTTCTGCTTTATCACGAATTGGATGCGCTCTGATTTGGAGAGTTCACGTTTTGCAAGTGTGAACTCGTTATTGAGTACACCGCATTGGCTTCGTTTTCATTCACTGCACAAAAACTCGCAAGAATACATCGTCCCATACTAACCACACTGCCGACATCACGCTGAATAAGAATCGAAAAATATTTTCCTTGTAATGGTTTAAATATTCACCATCTCACAAAATAAAGATTATACATTGTACTGAAAACTGTGGTTCACATCATCTACCAGTTGTTTACGCAATGAGTCATTTTTTAGGTAACTTAGTCGTGCTAAGCATAGGTTATATTTCACCGACAAAAAAACTTCATGACCTATAGTCCGCAAGAGAATTATATCCACCGAGTGACCGCCGCTTGTCGGCGAAGTTAGTACCAACTTTTGCGGATAGAGAGTGTCACGTGGTAAGCGTAACGGATCCCCACGGCCCTTAATCTCTGTTTTCTAGACAGGAGCCGCTATTTCCTTGAAATAGCTCCTAAATTATCCTCACGAGGCTGATTGGACACCGTTTTCAGAACCACGACTTCTCAGGAAATCTGGTAGCGCCGGGAATCGAACCCGGGACCTCTGGATCTGTAGGCAAGAACTCTGACCACTAGACCACAGAGGCGTATATTTCACCGTTACAGACCAAAATTAAAATATCTTACTAGATTTCAATTTAGACATCCTAACACCAACTTTAATATAGACCCGTTATCTACTTTCGAGGGTGCAGCATTTAGCTGGATGGACACGATATGTATGGGTATCAATGTATGAGCACCCATTCAGTCAGAAGAGTCCGACGTATTCGCGCGATGTCGGACTGATGCATAAGGCCTAAGTTTGCCTAACGTACCAAAGTACGTTAGGCAAACTTAGGCTTACGTACAAGCTTACGTACCATGAAATTTTCCTGCTTTCTCCTGTATTCGTTTCCTGTCCTATATGTTACCGAATGATGCGCTGAGGCAGACGTTTAACCCCACCTACCACCAATAACAAGGACGAGCAGATAATCGTAAATCGCCTCCTATCTATACATACAAAACTCTTAGGTATGTTTCCGCTCCTGGCCAGTTGCAACCATTTCGCTGGAACGCCGATGGAGACGCCACTTGACGTCCTGATTTAAAGGAAAAAAGCTATAACAATTTAGATCAAATTATGCATGTGTGGTGTAAATAATAAACATTTACAAGGAAATCCTGTCGGAAGAGATTGAGAGAATTACGCTTGGACTGTAATAAAATATAGTAATGTAGATAAATAGCCTGTGAAGATATGAAAAGAGCTGAGCTGGCTCAGGATAGGGGCCAGCAACAGCCATATTGCACGTTAGTTAACTCTTTTACAGAGAGTACTATTCCAAATAACATTGGAAACAGTCTTGAATTTCTAAATAAACCACAAATACCAATACTTCAACATATCTTTGATATAAACTATATTGTTCCAGGTTGTGTGCTTGCTCTCCGAACACTGGGTCCAGCCATGGGTTTCGCGCTCGGTTCAGGGTGCCTGAATGTGTACATTGACCCAAGCGTGACACCGGTCATTACGAAAAGAGACCCACGATGGCTCGGCGCCTGGTGGCTGGGTGAGAACTACTGACAGATACAATATTTATTATAATACAGTAACACATTTTGCCTGTGTAACTGTACTCACGTGACTGGCGACTGGGCGAGAGAAAGCGGGAAGTCAGCGGCGCCAACTCGAGACATTCGTTTGTGGTGGAACTTGCTACCGCCATCTCATACTGTGATTGCTTCTCTCAAGAACTCGGCAGTGACATCCAAAATCTGGACATATGGAATATGCTGTGTTGTCCACTTGGTTTTCTTTTCGCCAACGCTATTGCATCTATGGGCTGTTCTGGCATGCTCATTGCTGCTCCTACAGGCGAGCCCGCCTAAATCAGTAGCGTATCCTGGGTTACTGAATTCGTCTGAACTCTCTTTCCCAATTGTTGGCCTGAAGGAAACAGACCAATTGAAAGGCCTAGACATAGGTGGAAGAATAATATTAAAATGGATCTTAGATAAATATGATTGGGTGGTATGGCCTGGATTAATCTGGCTCAGGATAAGGAACACTGGAGGACTCTTGTGAAAAAGGTAATGAACCTTAGGGAATTTCTTGTGTAGCTGAGCGAATACCGCCTTCTCAAGGACTCAACTTCATGGAGTTAGTTATCCAGGGTTACATTTCAAGCGATGAAGTGAGGAAAATTTAAAAGCCACTGGAGAAAAAGGCGTTGTTAGACATATTCTAATGGGGCACACATATTGTATTCGTATAAATGCGGTCTTTATTACGATGAATCCCTCACACGAAAGGGTACCAGAAAAGGGGCTAAGGTAGGCATCACAGATTACGATGAACCAGAATTTAAGATAGGCATAGTGGTTCACATAAATGTCGCATGCTTTAAAATATCAAAACTCTACAATTTTCCCACATAGTGTATATGTGTGTTCCCGCTGTTTTCGGAGGAACCTGTTGCCTTCTTCTGGGTAGGAGAGCGGCCATGCGGGAAAATGGGATACTGACAGAGAGAATAAAGGGAGAACCAGGACGGGAAGTACGACCAAACAGGCAGCAGATTCCACAGAAACGTTGCCACTATAATGGCTGATGGTGCCTGAGTAAGAACGTGACAGCGAAAAAAATTGAATAAATTAAGTTCTCGGGGTTATAAGAATTTTGAGGTTATCCAGTAACCTTACGGTGTAAACTTACACAAAGTCTAAGCTTAGTGGTCCCAAAGAATTTCCAATAGGCCTGTATGTTACTATGGGAAGGAATCGAATAAGGATCACTGAGAACGTCTGCATGAAGCGGACTGGCTGGTTGATAAGCTACATGGGAAAGCGGCCTTCGTAGTCTAGGGGTAACGTTCCCACCTCATGACTCAAGGTACGCGGGTTCAAACCCGGCGGAGGTCGTGGAATTTTTAAGGGCGGAAAAATTGAGGGTACAAGCCGTGGGTCCCGTGTCGTAGATTTACGGCACGTAAATGATCCTCATGTCTCCAGGAGACCTCTGAGCAAAATTAGGCAACAATTTCCCGCCCAAGTAGTTTCTAATGCCTCTGGTAGATGGGGGAAATATCAGGTACCGACGGCCGACCTCGTTGGCTGAACGGGGCTGATAACACGCACCAGTACCGGTAGGGTATGGCGACAGTAGAAATTAAAGGGGGACGCACAGTGGACCAATAACTGGTCTAAGTGCATGGGGAAACCCACCCCCTCTAATAATAATAATAATAATAAGCTACATGGGAAGAAACTTAATTGGAAGTTACCAAAAATTTTAACGTAACGCGCCCAGTACAGTATCTGCCAAATTGTACGGCGTCACATTCCAGAAGACGATAATCCGAATAGTCATCTCAGATCACATACACGTATTTAGGTCGTAGTAAGGTTCCAGTATACGTAGGTTGTGCACTGTTGCATATTTGGTTCTGTCGCAGGCTGGATCATCCTCGGCACTACAATGCTGATGTTTTCGTTCATCATCGCCCTCTTCCCCAGGCAACTGCCAAGGACAGGTCCTAGTGGCAGACCGAGTTTGTCCGTGCCTGGGAACCCAACGAACACGAAACAACTGCCGCACGAGGAGCAACCGCTCACCAAGGCTATGCTCTCCGACTTCATGCCCAACGACCCGGTATCATCAAAACATAAGGAAATTGTACACATACAAGAAGCTTCTGCCAAAAAGGCGGAAGGTATGGTATTCACTAATTTCTTTGATGTAATCGTTTCGTTTCAACTTTAAAAGCTAGAAAACTTCGAATGAGACAGGAAAGGTAAAGTCCCTGTGGTTAATTGCGCATCACGCCATAAAGACGCATGGTAAGTGAAGGTATAGCTCCACTATTCTTGACTTCGGCACCAGATGTGGACAGCTTCAAGCCCCGGCCGCTTTACCCCAGGGAAATAGCGCCCAGTACACACTAGATATGAGGCCGGGTAGGCCTCTGAGTAGAGAAAAATCTCTGGCCCCTGAGGGGAATCGAACCCTGGCCATCCAGCCCGTAACCCGTCGCTATACCGACTCCCGAATGAGATAGCTATGCGATCATAGTAGTGGATAGATAAGGACATGAAAGGAAGCGGTCGTGGCCTGTTTGGAAGTGATAACCAGTTTTCACCTCCAGAAATTGAAGAAAATCTTCAGCCAGGGTTAGAACGGGATATCTCTACATGAACTTATTTTGTGGTACGGCACTTTAAAAGCTAGAGGAAATCGAATGTTTCACTGCTACGTGTCTCGTAGTCTGTATATAAAGCAATGGTGTCACCCAAATTTATTGAAAACGGATTGGTTTGTCACATATATTTAAAGCAATTTATTAGCTATTTTAAATTCTATTACTTAACATTACCTGTTTGCCTCTTGGCATTTGAATGAGTGCTACAGTTTGAAAATATGAAGGAAGACATATTTTCGGCCTTTCCAAAATACAGAAAACTCTTCAATTTGGCGATGAAGGTTTGACGGCCCCATAATCAGCAAACCAAAAGCCAATGAATGGTGTAGAAAAGTAACCTCTCCAAAATACAGAAAACTCTTCAATTTGGCGATGAAGGTTTGACGGCCCCATAATCAGCAAACCAAAAGCCAATGAATGGCGTAGAAAAGTAACCTCCAGGCGGCTGACAGGTTAAAATGGCATTGCGAGCTCCAGAGGACTGAACATCTCGTTTCATTAATAAAATAAAATATCCTTAAATGCTTACGGTGGTCCTGCTGTAACCATTATTTTATGGTGTTCTCTCTAAGTCCATTAAAGGTTCTAAAACCTTGATTACGAGACGCGGAATTTTGTCAACTGAGAAAGAATTTCTTGTCAGCGGCTCAGTTGTTCATTATTCTGAAGGCCTTTTCACCTTCTGCTGAACTAACAACACCTTTAATTATTTTAGCAGCTTCTGTAAATTGAACCCCGAGGAAAGAAGGAATTATGCAAATTGGCCTGAGCTGATTCATACTGGGATTTTGTGAAAGCCTTGAATATCTATTGTGACAGGAACTTTATGTACTAGAGAATTCAAATGGTGAGACCTGTGCAATATTTAATCTGTGGCTTGCTACAGGTTTTAAGATGGGTTTGAAGAGGCTTATACTGAACAAACTGCTGATGGCAAACATCATGGCAGGGGTGTTCTACATTCTGGGAGCATCTGGCTACATGACTTACACAATCAAGTATCTGGAGACACAGTTCCAGAAGTCAGCCGCAGGGGCAAACATCATAGCAGGTATTCAGCTACCATAAGCCTTTCAGATAGTTTATGGAACTCATCTTGATGTTTGGAAAAACTTGTTTAGTGCAATGTCAGGCCGAGTTTAAGAAGTTCTAATTTCAGACAATATAAACTGGGCCTTCCAGGCTGTCAAAAATAATTTATAATGGGACTGCATCACCATGTTTGTGGAGTACAACAAATTTATTCTAAAAGGCAAACTTTATATTACATTTTGATATCGTTAATTATATGTAATTATCTAAGATTTTCTGTTTTCCATGCACAGTATAAAGAAGTATTGTATCATGAAACAATAACATATAGTAGTGATCAAGACTGTCAACAGTTGAAGTTCTTGGGACCCTATTGCATATATTTACAGTTTTCATTTACTTCACATATTTCCGGTACGAGAAAGTTGGTAAGCCCCCCTTTAGTTTAATGTGTACCTTAACATCTTGAGAGCATCGGTGATAGGCCAGGATATCTCATTAACATTGATTTTTAATAATATAATTTTCATATTTCCTGCTGTATATGCACAATATTTATCGATTTTAGGCTTTCACGGTGGTTAATTCTTGACGATTCTTTTCTTGGGTTGTTACACTGTGTGGTTGTAGTGTAGCAACCCAAGAACAGAATCAACATCAATATATAAAATATATTTGGTGTGAATACTTGATCTGAAGTTTTGTAACAAGATTCCATGTCTCCTAATCAAATGATAAGAGCCCAGAGTACTGCACAAAATATTTTCACTGACAAACATGTTTATAGGTGTACCTGCCATCCTAGCGACAGTAGCTGGATTCCTTATTTCTGGATATGTTATATCAAGATTTAAACCTAGGACAAGCCTAGTGCTGGGTTGGAATGTATTTGTTGGCTGTGTCTACATTGCTGGAGAAATATTATTCATATTCCTTGGCTGCACAAATAATGGACTTCAAGGATTCCAGTCAACAGGAGAAGGGTAAGTTGCAATACACAGAGCAGTCATTTAGAGGACAGGAAATAATGGCTCATACCCCTTAAAACGTCATGAACAGCAACAGTGGAAAATGAAATTTGAAGGTACAAACTCATTTTCCAAATACACTCTTTGTAATTTTGCATACCACATTCACCTTTCTGTTCAGTCACTGACCATCCAAATGAACTGCCCTGCCAGTTACGTTTCTTGTATTCATTAACATGCAGTACATAAAAAAATACAAACAGAAGTTTTAATGAGATCTGTGTTTCGTCAACCTATAAAGTTTAGAAAACTTATGAAATAAAATCTGATTTTTATGTAAAATGACGTTTATATTATGCAGTACTGTACTCAGACCAGGCCAAAATGAAATTTGTCTTGCAGCATTTAGTGCAGACTCCCAACACCAAGAGTCATCAAAATCCACAGGGTAGTTTGGGACATGAAATATGAGAACGAAAAAACACGACCTATTGTGTGTCTATTTCATACACTTCATGCAAAGAGCACACAAAACTCAAAGAGAACCACAATTATATTGACATACTGAAGCATGAATATTTATTTACAGTTGATCAGTCACTCTGGCACTCAATTTCCACTGTGACTATTTGCAGTTAAAAACATGTTGACAACTGAAACCAAAACTCAAACCATCTTCAAATTTTTTCAGTATAATTTCTTAGGAACATGAAAAACAACTGCCTACCTCCATTTTGATTTTCAGCCTCCAACTAATAAATGACTGCAATACGAATTGCCACTGTGATAACCTGAGGTACACTCCAGTGTGCTCTGGAGCAAGTGGTGTTACTTATTACTCTGCATGTCATGCAGGCTGCAACTACGTTTTCAACAATTCTAAGGTGAGAGAGTGATAATGTGCCAACTTTGCTTTTGTAGTTTCACACCCAAAGTTCTTCAATAAAGCACTTGATAGCCATATGAAAGGAGAGAATTTGTTGTTACTGTCATTACTGGATTTATTTTTGCCATTGCCAGCATTCTTGTTATTATAACTTGTTCATTCTCCATTAAAAATGCTTTTCACAGGTTACAGATGTAACAGCTACCTTACAATACATACAGATTTACGCATATGTAACATATGTGTATGAAATGTGTTACGACACTCTCAGTAGCTTGCTACTGAATTGTAGGATAAATAATAATTAATGAAGTAAAACGTGTATGAAAGAATGTAGGCATTACCTAATATCCCAGCATCTGGGTATGCAGGAACATGAAACAGCCTATATTGTTGAAACATGTTTACCGAATGATGCATAGCAAAAGTCATGGCACAGACTCCATAGAAAGCCAGTTATGTGATGGTTACCTAGTCAGTCAATTGGTGTGCTGACTGTTGCCTAGCAATGAACTTTAAACGTTCATCCTATTGTTGAGTGTGCATACGCAACTGCAGGTTGTTTATGGGTCATTGCCTAGAAAGCTCTGGCCATCCATGTTACAATACATTCCACATCATTTTTCTTTTTCCTGTTTAACAGGGTTTTGGAAACTGCACCTGTTTGTCACCCACCAACCTGCTGGGTTCAGGTGGTGTAACCAGTGACACCAACAGCACAACCATAACAAATATTGTGACTGCTGGGCCCTGTCTAGTGAATTGTGGCAGCAATTTTATCATCTTCCTTATCACTACATGTATAATGCACAGCCTTGGCAGTTCTGGCAAGATTGGGAACATTTTAGTGAATTACAGGTGAGGGCTTATAAGATTTCTTACATAATGAACTCAAAATTAAAAATACTTTTTAACAGACTTCAGTGTAGCTGATCAGCAATCAAGGTTGTTTGTTTTCAATTTCTGATCACACTCTTTCAACATGTCTGGGGAAGAGCTGTAATGGCTGAAGCAATTCATTTCCTTAAGCTGTCTAAGTTTTGAACTTCAATAGTGTCAACAGTGTTCTTAAATACATTCTTAACAAGACTAATGTGGTCAGAAGAGGGCTTTTGAAAAGAGCCACATAATTGGACCATCTCTTTGAATTCAGAGCCAAACATTTACATTGAAATATAACATCATTTTTAGGTTGTAAGTATACCATCTATAATGCAACAATAACTTATATAAAAGACACTAAAAATATATTCAATACACTAAAAGTGCTTGTTAAATACTTTAAAATGTCACTAAAATTATACATTTATTCCTTGTTGCAATAAATTTCAGCGACACAAGGACCATCATCAGGCAACTTTTTTGGGGGGTTATTGGGGAGTAGGTCATATTACCCACTCAAGAGTGACGAAGTGCATGCAGTCCTATGAACAAAGTTTGTCTATGAAGAAAAAAGATCACAGTCAAATTTCAAACGAAGTCATCTACAAAGAAAATAAATGGGATCATTTTGGCAGACATGACCAGGCCTGTGGTATTTATGAATCCGCAGTATAGTGAGGCATGTTATAACAGAGTTCATCTGAATTTTGTGAAGGGTATGAATTCTGAAGGTCAAATTTACATCATATTGTGTTATAATTTCAGGTGTGTCATGCCAGAAGACAAGTCATTCGCTCAGGGATTAGTTCTAGTGCTTGTCAGTCTTCTTGCCTTCATTCCAGGACCTATAATATTTGGAAGTATTATTGGTGGGTAGGATTTACTTTCATATTATTTCTAGGGCATAAAGCAAGTTCTGAAACTAGAAAACACTACCCAATAAATTTGGTTAAATTAATACAGTGATAATGCACAATAACAGGATTCCTCTCAGAATATCAACAGAGTTATGGAGATAAGTCACAAGCAAACCTACAAATTCTATACAAAATGTTTATAATTCAATAATTGCAACATTGATGCAGCATGGAACTTTGTATATCTCACTATATTACACTGACAGTTCCAACACTAAAATAGTAATAACTATGTAGAATTAAAAATATAAGCAATAGGAAAGTGGGCTTTATGAGATCTGCACAGATCTCCTTGTTTACTTAGTCTGGCTCATTTTCAAGGTCCTTTACTTTCAGGGCTAAATTAACTTTTGTGTATATTTTTAGAGTCCCTAGACAGATATTAATGAAAATTGAGGTATGTCATTGCTGTTATATGGTGTCAATATATGTTAAGTTTATTTGATTTGATTTATTTTTATGGTTACTTTACTAAAAACCCTAAAAAAACTCTTTTGAGTCTAATGTTAAATTTTGATAAAGCTCAATATACAGCACTTCTTCTGTACAATTGTGAGTTACAGTCACTTCAGTTTGTATTAAGGGACAACTGCTTGAACATTTTGGCATATCTTAGTAGGTATTCAACCGAGACAAAACATACATTTAATAAAAGTTATAAAATTCAGTTTTATACAATGTTTCCATGAAACTAATTTTGAGAAAATTATTATTTATAACTAACTGTATGATGTACCTCAATGAAGTCATTATCCAGTTCTGTAATCATCCTACCAGATATGCACTTGATTTATGGTACACCACATGTACCTAGATACACAAGAGAATGTCCAGGCCTAAACAAAACAAAGTGCCACCTATAGGGGTAAATTTGCCCATTCTTATATACATCAAAGAATGTCTTATAAGAACGTACTGCAATGCTTCAACAGCAGTGTACCTCAGAACTACTATTGTTTCAGATGCTGCATGCTTAGTGTGGGATGAAACATGTGGAGAGAAAGGGAACTGTTGGTTATATCATAAGGACAACTTCAGGTTGTACCTGAACCTTACTGCAGCAGGTATGTTAGACAGACAACTGACTACCATGACTTCTAGGTACACTCAAGTGGCCTCCGAATCTTATATTCCTCAATTCTAACACTGTTTAACTCCATGTTGCAAGATATTTCTTTAAAGTTGATGGCTGCTTACCTGGCGAAAACACTGCTTGTTTTTATGGAACATGAAGGTTCATTACCAACTTCACAGAAGTCTGCTATTTGATTGTCCTCAGCTAATTTAATCTATTCCATATTCTTACACCCTAATTCTCTAAGATTATGAAGAAAGCAGTCTTCTGGGCTTTGGCGCCGTGTATATGTGGTGTTAACCGACGTTTCGGAGGAACGTATCGCCCAACGTCGGTTAACACCACATATACACGGCGCCAAAGCCCAGAAGACTGCTTTCTTCATAGTCACCGCCGTGAAAGCCTCAAATCTCTAAGATTAGTTTTAATATTATCTCTCCATCTATGCTTACATTTCCAATCAAAGACTGTGTATGTCTCATTTCCCCCTGTGTCATGTATCCATTTGGTCTATAGGCTTGCTTACAGTAAAACTGACACCGTACCTAAGCATCACACCATGAAGATACAAAGTGAATACTGAGGCAAGACCCTACAAATGTTGGCCTGAAGTTGGAGATGAATAGTTACTGTTATGCCCTGGCTATTTTATCCCTAATGAAAGTCCCTTATTCTTACTCATTACGAAGCTCATAACTGTTAAAACACAGTAATGGTGTGAAATATCCCAACACATATACCAGTTCAGTCTGAGATATCTGGAAGAAATATGCAGCTTGCAGTCCAGAACACATAATTGTATAAGAATTACAATATAATGATTTTGTAGTGGATACACAAACTGTAGCTTGTATTCCTGCTTCTATAACTCAACAGTAAATAAATAAATGGCAGCATCATAATCATAAATATTCATGTTCCAGGTTTCACTGTGGTAGGAATGCTACTGGATGCATTGGTATGGTGGCTTGGAAGAGGGCTGAATTTATATGAAGAAACAGATGTAAGCAGATCTAAGGAGGGTAGCAGGAACCACAATTTCCGGCAACTGAAGTGACAGTTATTACTGTGATAATAAGAACCATATACAAGTTTATAAGATTAATTTGTTATATTTTCATACCAGTAGCTCAAGTGTAGGATTATTCTGTAATTGTACTTATGAGGTAACAAATTTTGTAAGGAAAATAGAAATATCATATAAATCAATTAACTACAGCTGCCTGCTTATAACTTGGTAGCTCACCTTGGATGTGAAATAGCATTGAATTGTCACATGATCACCCTGAACCAATTAAGAGCATGTCCCTGTAGGGAAGACCTCCTGAAACATACTCTCTAGTGACATGAAATTTTATTTTTGACATCAGTGTCTTTTTGGAGTAGTCTTTATTGGTGTAATGACCCACCAAGTACTGTGCAGGCACGTATAAAATGTAAATTTTTTACAGAAAATAATGCTTTCAATTTCAGTCACAAAATTTCGTCAAGACATTGTACAAAGTTTGCTCATTCTAATATAAGGATTACAAGGAGTCATGTCATTCACATTCAGCTACTGTAGGATGGAGAAATACATACTTAAGTTGGACTTGGTTAAGAACTCTGTAAAAATTTTACATGAAAAACAAGGAACTATCATGACATGTCCTCTCAAAATACGGACTGACAAATTCTAGAGAAGAATATGGTCGAAACATAATAAACTGTGAGAAGCATATAATATTTTCACTGGAAAATTACAGGATTGATTCAGATCCTGAACACTTGTAGGAAGAAGCACTTACAGCCAACTAGTATCTTGAACAGAATTACAAGCGAAAAAAAAGTTGTCACCAATACCACCTCCATTTGACATCCAAAACTTGGCCACTAAAGATGATGGGTATCAACTTTAAAATTGCCACCATCTAGCAAACTCTTAACCCTTTAATGGCTGCATTTTATTGGTTGGTGGGGTGGCATTAGTTAATTCTATGGCTGTGAAGTTGCGAGAGGAAAGTTGAGATAAGTTACTTCTTGCACAACAGATACATCATACCTACAGTAAAGTTCCATAATACATTTGCTCAAAGCAAAAACTGTGGAGCTAGATAAACAGCCATTGCTAGTGAACAGCTCAGCGGCCACAAAACAGACTATGGAACAAAGTCCGCTGCTAGTCAGCAGATTCTTAATAAGCAAGAAGAGACGTCCACTGTTAGGAAACGGTTCAGTAAACACATTCCCACAGAAACGGTTAGCATATAAGAATGAACAGTGTTGAGTGTGGGATATGCCAAGAAATTACAAGGAAGACAACTGGGGCGAACAAGTCAGTTCCATATGGAAGTCTGAAGAAAAGAGTGACATTTAGTTAAAAGCCAGTTGATAGACAGGCGGTGAAGAGAAGACTAGGAGGTTGGTGTAAAATGGCTGTGAGTTAGTTGCAAGAGTGCTCAGTTGGAAGGTAGCTGCTGTTCAGACAGGATCTGAGCCCGGAAGCAGAAGACTAGCCATTGTTAAAAGCCCTTACCAGGCAACTACTAGTGAAAACAATTCGGGCTGGAAAAGACTTAGTGCATGTGATAGTGATTTGTAAGATGTGGAGATCAGTGATGGTGTTATAATTAAGTGTAATTATGAGTTGTCTGTTAAAGTGGTTAATACAGCCAATATCCAATCCAAAACCCTATCAAGAGTCTTCTGAGTTGACAAATTCAGGTGCTTTGCCAAGAAATTGGGTGTTCACTCAAGTCATCTTCCTGCTCGTGATGACTCCTATTTTGCTGTCTAGTGTCTACCATTTGACGTATGTGTTCAAACAAACCATTTTAACACAGAATTAACCTTTCAAACTTTGGGGTGACCATCATATAGCCAGTTTATCAGTAACAAGGTACACAGTGTTAAAATGCCTATCTAAAGGCTAAGAGTAACAACCTTGTAAGTGTTAGGCATGTAATCTGATACAGATAATTAATTATGTTCAAGCCTAAAAATTTCAATGCTATAACAATGATCATTTGTACAAAGAGAAAGTTGGATAATGAGGGAGTAAGATAAAAGCACTCCAAAAATATCTAATGTGATCTCTGAGAACTAAAAATTCTTTAACGTAAGTATTAGAAGTAAACTGACCGCCTCTGTGGTCTAATGGTCAGAGTTCTTGCCTACAGATCAAGAGGTCCGCCAATTCCCGGTGCTACCAGATTTTCTGAGAAGTAGTGGGTCTGGAACGGGGGACACTGAGCCTCGTGAGGATAATTGAGGAGCTATTTCAAGAATATAGGGGCTCCGGTCTATAAAATCGATATTAATGGCCATGGAGATCTGTTGCGCTGACCACGCGACACCCTCTATCCATTAAAGTTTGAACTAACTTTGCCGACAAGCGGCGGTCGCTCGGTCAGTACAGTTGGCTTGTGGACTCAAACCACAGATTTTGTTTTATTTTTTTTTAGAAATTATTATAAAAGTAAATCGTTTGTCCACTTGCAGAAAATAAAGACAGAAAATTCAAGAATTATAACTGATATAAGAGATATTGAAGGCCAAATGCAATGGAAAGACCAACTGTAGGTGAGAGAGTCATCAATGCCAAACAGGAAAAGAAAGAATACGAGTAATACCACGTAGTCTTACATTCTGGAGGAACATACTGCCTCCATATTCAGAGCTGAAAAGTAATTTTAAATATGAATATTTCACAACGTGTAACAATGCAATGGTCCGATCTCAACTTCAAAGAAAACACTTTTCAGTTTACAGGATGTTTCAAGGCACAATTCATAAACCTTGTTATTTAGCAACAATCACAGATCTTATTACACACTTCACAAATAACTATACCCATACCGATACACTTTCACTGCCATGTGGGACAAAGTTTCCCCATATTCAAATGCAAATGCCATACATTAGACGAGATATAAAATGGCCTGTGAGACTTAAAATATAATAAACTGACAAGAGTATTGTAAATGTATTGTTTAAATATAAATAGTACTAGTGCAAGTTATTACTTCATTTACGTACATCCCATTTTTTATTTAACTGTAACTGAAATTAAATGGGACACATAAGCGGCTGGTATATGATGACGTGAATCTACTGGGTGATCACATAGATACCATACAGAAAAACATAGAAACTTTGACACTACTAAGGAGGTTAGTTTAGAAGTAAACATAGAGAAAACTAAGTATATGTTACTGTCTCGTCACCAGAATGCAGGGCAAAATCATGACATAAAGATAGCTGACAGATGTTTTGAAAATGTGGCACAGTTCAAATATTTGGGAATGACAATAATAAATCAAAATTTGATTCTGGAAGGAATTAAGAGGAGATTAAATTTTGGTAATGTTTACTACCATTCAGTCCAGAACCTTCTGTCTTCTCATCTGCTGTCTAAAAACTTACAAATTAGAATATACAAAACTATAATTTTGCCTGTGGTTCTTCTGTATGGATGTGAAACTTGGTCTCTGACATTAAGGGAGGAACAGAGACTGAGGATGTTTGAAAACAGGGTACTGAGGAGAATATTTGGATTGAAGAGGAATGAAGTGATAGGAGGTTGGAGAAAACTAAATAATGAAGAGCTTCGTAACTTGTATTCTTCTCCAAGTACAATTACAATGATCATGTCAAGAAGGATGACAAGAGCGAGTCATGTAGCATGAATGGGGCACAAGGGGAATGCATATAGGATGTGCGTGGGAAAGCCAGAAGGAAAGAGGTCATTAGGAAGACCAAGACGCAGTTGGGTGGATAATATTAAAATGGTTCTTAGATAGGATGGGGTGGTATGGGCTCAACTGATCTGGCTCAGGATAGGGACCAGTGGAGGGCTCTTGTAAACATGGCATTGAACCTTCAGGTTCCATAAAATGTTGGGAAGTTCTTGAATAGCTGCATAACTGGCAGCTTCTCATGAAGGGCTCTGTTCCACGCACTCAGTTCATATGCTTCCACTAGAAATGCTAGGATAGTTACATCAAGGACCTCATAATGGGCTGGAAACAGAGCGTGGATATAAAACGAACCAGAAAAACAAAAAAAAAATTTTTGTGGAGCAATATGTAGGGCAGCAAACACCTGGAAACCCAAGACAGATATAGAAAAATAATAATAATCATTTGGGAATTATGACTATGTAAATTTCAATGAACCTAGTCAGACTGGGGTACAGTGGATGGCGTTTATAAGTATTAATACTTAAGGTTCTAAATAAGAACATTACTTTCCCCCTTCATTTCCAGGAAAATCTTCCCCTACTAACACTCTCATGTCTTGATTTGCACTGTGTTACTTAACAACTATTAAAAAGGTCTCAATGATGACACAGTGCATTTTTGAGTTCTGCAGAATTTGACAGTGAATATTTTACTAGGGGGTGTCTTTCTAGTATGTTGCCACAGAATTTCCATATTATCAAGTTACAAGCTCATCACTTATTAACCACGCATGAAATTAATTCAAACAGTCATTTTGTGGTTATTTTCAAGTTTGCTACAAAATAAAGAAAGAAAATAAAAACGTCTTACACTATATCCAAAGGTGCTCATGCTTCTCCCATCTCACAAACCACACAAGAGTAACATTCATATTGCTAATCACATAAAGATAAAATGCAGCAAGATGGGTATATATCATGGAAAATTTCATGAAAATTGAATGTTATCCACAACATTTATGTCTAACCGAAATAAAAGACAGATGTAGTTTGACTAATGAATTCTAAACAAGAAAGCTGAAAATTTCATTTCATATTTGGTCTAAAATAATCAGAGGTTTATATGAAAACAGTAACTTCAGCACTGCTCACCTCATAGTTTTTGGTATTATTGCAACAAGGGGGAAAAAATAAACATTGAATTTCTGGCAACAATACATTTCAAGGTTTTTTTTTAAAGACAGTGTCAGTAACATGAAACAACCATACATATAAAGGAGCCTTATATACATTAGAACACACTGTAATGTGTCTGGAGTAGATACTTCCATGGTAACGCGATAACATTGAGCCGTTACGTAGACAATGCCGAAACAACGAATGCATTCCCCCAGAGATGAACAACAGAAAGCCGCTGAGTAACAACGGATGGGACGAAACATGTTACGAGTGTATAAAGAGCATTCCCAAAGCGACGGATTGCCGAACACGTAAGATCGAACCTTGGCGAATGGTGTCTCGTATCCGGTCTGCGTAACACCTACATAAGCCTAGAACCACAGAGCTAATTAGCCTTCATACAACACAGTTGCAACCTAGTCGAGACGCCGAAGTCACGTGATACCACAAGCAATAATAATTGTATGGTGCATAAGTGTGTCCAATAAAGAGTTGCTAATTCCGAGACCCACATGAAGTTATTTGTCATGTGACACACCCAACACGAGACAATACATAATAAATAATGCTCTTACTGTGAATGTGGTACCCGAAGGACACATGTAAAAGCCATTAGATTGAAGGCAAATTTCAGTCCACCACCTGAGGCTTATCATATAGTGCACATGCAGAACACATGTTACATTTCCCCTGGGTCCTAAAGATTTTTCTATACAGGATCACACACATTAAAAGATCACTCTTAGAAGTCCCTGAAATAGGCACTGTGGCAGTAGCAAACTGTGATCTGTGGAGTGAAGAGCACAGAGGCGTCTGATTCCTCTGGAAAGCAAGCATCTTACGAAGGCCTTCAACAACTGGTCCAGAGTTACATAGGCTGTATGGGGCACAAAGTTTTTGAAATGAAAAACTGCCCAGTGGTATCAAGTGACAGTGTGAAAATGAGTGTCCACCAGCACTCTTGAGTAACAATTACAGAATCAGTATCCTCATCCTCAAAGTATGGACTGATGTTCACATGAATTATTCCTTCAAGTGTAACCACTTCGATATATAAATATACAGATACGCCTTTACATGTTTCAGCAGGCATCAGAAGATAGTCCTACGTTATAGGGAAGCATTTCACATGTATAACATACTATTTCCCTATTGTGCTGGAGAACCTTCTGATGATGACCAGGGCTGGCCAAAACATGTAAAGGTGTATTTATATATTTTTATATTAAACTGGTTACATTTTATGGAATTATCACTCACTTAAATATGAAATAGTGTGATGGCTCAAGATATCTTTTATTAAGATGCTTGAATGTCTGAAAATGGTATGTCATATCCGACTTCAGAGTTTTTGCGCCTTCTAAGTTGCAATGTCATTCATTGTTCCTTTATTGTACACTAATTTCACTATATGTTTTGGCATTACTGGCCATCTTCACGCATACAGGTGCTGTGGACACGGGTTTGGCTGCTCACTGTAATGCAGTTTTCCTTCCTCCTACTGTTGTTGCTTCTGGTTACATTAGTCATGTGTGTTGCATGTAGTTGCTTATCTGTAATGTGTGATTCACTATGATAGAGCTTTTAAACAGTATATATGTATGTTCAGTTACTGTATATATGAAGTTGCTTACTGTTTTGTTTGATCTGCTTATTGTGGCTGCCATGAGGGTTCTTGCTGGGGCATGAATTTTGTTGTGTTGGTTTGTCATCAGAATAACCTGTACACCTGAAGACAGCCAATGAGGTCGAAACATGTACTGAAATACTGTCCAATAAAGGAAAAGTGAACAACGCTGCACTTAAGACAGCACAAAAACTTCTAAGTCAGATCTATATAGTGTAACAGGATGTTGAACTATAATGTTACAATGGTATGCCATGTGCCAATTTTGCTGCATAAGATTCTGTCGCTTTTTTGGAACTTACATGCCTGTGAATTCAAATGAATGTACTTTTCTGACTACTTCAAAATTTGGTCTACCTCTAGGACCTTTCTTGAACAGGGGATGGGGAGGGGGGGACCACAACGAAAACCTTTTCAGATATACTGACAGCAAATTTAATGGTCTTGTAACCAAAGCAACTTACTACTATAATTAAAAAAAAAAAAAACAACTAAAAACTCTGTGGCTTTTAGTCTGCAAGTGAACTATACTGACCGAGCGACTGCTGCTTGTTGGTGAAGTTAGTGCCAACTTTTTGAGAATAGAGGGTGTCACGTGGTCAGTGCAACAAATCCCCAGAGCCATTAATTTTGGTTTTCTACAGCGGAGCTCCTGCTTTTCTATTCAAGCAGCCCCTCAATTATTCTCATGAGGCTGAGTGGACCCCATTCCAGACCCACCACTTCTCAGAAAATCTGGTAGAACTGGGAATTGAACCCAGGCCCTCTGGATATGTAGCCAGGAACTCCGACCACTAGACCAGAGAGGCGGTGACTAACTATTCTAATATAAAACAAAATGTGTACCTGAGCATACACACAGAGGTGCTGCTATCTACTGGGATATTTTATACTCAGCATGACTGTAGAAAGGAATCGGTGGTGAAAACAGGAAGAAAAAACAGTTGCACCATACTCCAACAAAAATAATCATGATGGAATAATACCACACTCACCTCATTATAAAATGACACTTTTACCCTTACAGACTTCCATTTAAAATATATGGGGTTGTCCTATATTTACAAATGAAGAAAACTGAATAATAAACAGAACGCAATTATTTCTGGGAACCCAACAGTCACTGAAAATGCTGCGAGAACTGGTAATTTTGGCCTGTCTTACCACCAATGTACAGTACTGCAACATGAAGACCTCTCTGGTATTATGGCACACGAGTGGTCGAAAGTATACAGATGTGAACCAGATCTACACGTATACTGACTCAAGTTATGTACCTATCCCAGACTGAAGAACTAAACTAAGTTTAAGCATTTACCTATACTAATATAACAACTGGGCATTCAGAAATTCAGAACTCCCAACAGGAAATCTGGCAACTGTAGGTATGGGTGGTGAAGGTAAACAACTTCTTGAGATGCTAATAGTTGCTCAGCTACTCTAGAAATTGTCAGCACTTTATGGAAGACGAAGACTCATTACCATGTCCTTATCCTGAGCCCGATGAGTCCAGTCCGCACCCTCGATGTAGCAGCCTGATTAAATGAACCTTAAATGCACTTCATTTATTCACTCTGTAGAGGTCCGTGTAGACTTTGGCTCCACTTATACTACTTTCTTCTGAATGTTGCCCATGCATAACACCACAATATGGTACGGTACATTTGGACTTGCTTAGAATATCAGAAAGTAAGGATAGCTAAGGTGGAGCAGTGTTTCTATTTCAAGGTGTGTTTATACTGGCATATAATTTCAGAGTCAAGATTGCCTTTATACCTTTTTAAATGATTCCTTGTAAGTCACATCCCATCAAGCTGAATGTATTTCTAACTTCTAACTTCTACAGGCACATATTTTAACAATTTAATTCCTCTTGAAAGGCTACTGTCCACTTTGGATGGCAAGTGTTACACCTCCCAACTCTTTCTGTCAAAGGTAGAAGGTATGTCCTGTTCACGGAACTGATGAAATACTTGGCATAAGTACCTTTAGAGAACTCGCCTGTGTCTGAAAATACCTTTTCAAAAATTGAACGATGATAAATAAAATAAAAATTAATTAACTTAACACAACAAAATTAATACATGAACTTGCTACATTCAGATCTATAGCTTTAAGACCTGTCTTTAATATTTTGAGGGCTACAACAATCTTATAACTTTAATACATACAAAACAGCAATACGGCTAACATAATTATCAATGCTGGTACTGCTGATTTGCTTTACACTGTATTAGAATTTATACAGTTTCCTTAACTATAAAAAGAAACAACAATTAAATGTAACCAGATTTATTCACACATTAAACAAAATTTCTTTCCTTCACATATACTTCAATGTAGTATTAAAATCAATTAGCATCACCATACATGGATCAGAAAATATGATACAGTGGAATAATGGTCATAAAAATAGATCTTGTGCTAAAAAGAGAAAAGAATTCCCTAACACTTACGTAAACCAGTATTCATTATATTTGTACCTCATTTTCAGCTGTTCATATCTGAATCCTCTTTACATGTACTGTGTTCCCAAGTCGTCTATATTGGGTAAGTGCATTCTGATTATATCACTAGTCCGTAAAACAGCTTCTGGTAGAATTCCTAGTGGAGTTTTCAGCTGCCTTACACAGAAATGCATTACATCCACATCAGAACCTCGAAACTCTGCTGTCACATTTGTGTTATCAAACATGCGGAACTCACAGCCTTTACCTGCCACAAAAATCAAAATGATGTTAACTTAAAACACGAATTTAAGTCACAAACAAATGGAAAATTCAAACGAAAGAAAATTACAACGGTTTGCCCAAACGACAGTAAGGGATGTCAGATTTGTGGTTATCAAGACAATGATTATGAAGATTACCGTCTTCTTTCGTTACGTTTGTACCTACAGCGCTATATGCCATGTAAAAGTATTCAACTATAAACCAATAAGCAGAACAGAAAATTAATCAGATATATCATACCTTAACTACTACAGTTATGTTCACATACCTACAATTCCTGTAACAACCCTTAGAAATTTTTCTCTCAGAAATGCTCGAGCTTCCTGATTTTCTACAGATGAGAAACCTGGTGGAAAACAAGGTTTCTCATCCATGCTGTCACGTTCATTCTCTAACATTTTATAATAAACCAAATAAGAATCTATTTCCCAAGCGACACAATTCTGCACGTCAACCAAATTATACTTCAAAAACTGCTACATAACGTAATTTATACTCATCCGTTGATCCCTTAAGCGAATGTGTTTACACAGCGTTAACTGATACCGACTAATACAATATCCCAAAATCTTGCTTTCATACAAACATCAACCTACCACCATTTTAGGTCACACACTAGAACATGTTCCCTAAAATTTCCCGTCAGTGTTAATATATTCATCAAATCAGAATTGTATAATAAAAATGTTTAAATTTGAAAACAATTTCTGCTATATTCTGCATGTTTTATAACATCTTACTTATATGTTACAAGAATAGAAAGATCAGGAAGTTTTCTTCGGAGTAAGTTCAGTGAAATATACCACGCAAAATCCCTAAGTATGGTATCGTTATAATGTAATGAAAGCACACTTTGGCATTGAAGACGTCATAAACCATTACCATTGCACACACTTTATATTTGCTATGTGAATAATATCAACCAAACCAAAAACAAGTCAAAATACAATTATGAAAACTACGCAATTTATTACGATACCTCACTTCCTGCATACAAGGCCACACTGTATGATTTCGTTGTGGAATACTCCAGTAGATAGCACTGTGATATAAATTTTAACAACACAGACCGGGATATTCAAAAATCACGAAACGACCGCTACGATAAAACAAAATCTTTATAACATTGTGCTACAGAAGGCCGGATGGGCACTGCCTAGGCCGCATAGGCCTTCTTTGTATATACATTAATTTTTTTCGAAATAAAAAAATCACAGACTGGGCGCAGACTGTTGGCAGCTACAAGGTTCGAATGCCCATAGAAGGATCGAGCATCCAAGGGTTCATGCCATTATGTCCTAGCCATTCAGTCGCAACCCAGGCTCCAGACAGTCGCGTTATGCTTTCAAAAGCACATTTATTTAATAAACATTTATCAAAATTAAAAAAATAAAATAAAATAATTGTGATTTAAAAAATCACAAAATGTATACTGGCATGTAAAAACATCATCCAATATTTTAGAAATTTTGAAAACTGCAACAGCACCCCTACCCAGATAATTTAGTTACTAAGCCGAAATACCAGGTGCATGTAGCTGTACTGCAGCTGAGTAAATATATCTCATACTGGGGCCTATATCATGTTTTTGCTCTAATTCTAACAGGCCTTACCTTACTAAAGTAACAAATATGATAGCTATAGAAGAATCCCAATGCTTTTCACATGAAACATGTCTACGGAATTCCATCATTGGAAACAATTTTGAAACCTTATAGCCAAAACCCCTAAGATTCACATCTTTTAAATTCGTGTGAAACAAGGGTAAAATCAATAAATCGGTTTCGGATGAATGAATGCGCAAAAGAAATCATTATTCTAAATAACTGAGCCTATCGAGAAATTGAAAGTAAATCCTTTGGTCATGATATTCACCGTCTGTTACGAGACACGAACGTTCATTGCGTATTCAGAGGAACCCGCCTTTGGAACGCATCCTGATGCAACTCAGTTCTGGTCACAGTGTATTTCCGGGAGTTCTATTTTAATATTTTTCTGTCATCTAAGCCTAGGTCTCCAAAGTGGCGTCTTCTCTTCATGTTTTCCAATGAAAACATTATTAGACAAACATTTTGAATATTAACATCTCATATCCCGTCATTTATTACTTCTTCATAAAATGTTAATCTGTTACATAGATGTACTTCTTAAAATATTTAAATTTAAAGCGCAAATTAATATAGAAACTAGCCTTACCATGAATACAGCTTGCCCATGCATGAACACATACACACGGACACATTAAAATACTATGTAATGAGATGTCAATTAATATTAATAAATCTATACCTGTTATCAAGGAACAGTATTCGATTTGAAATTATCGATATAGCTCGCTATTTCTTGAAAGCTTGATGCTACTCTATATTTATTCCAACCTGCTAAGAAAACAAAACAGACGTCAGTCCATTGCAGGAAATTCGGGCAGCCGTATCCGTTGCTTTTGAGGAAGGAGGAAATATACGAGTATTTTTTTATTGCTAGTGGTGTGGCCACTTCTGGCCTATTGTACCAGCCCCAGATGATATGTGAGGATGATTGTGGAGCAATTGGTGGAATGAAGATTGGCAGGGGAAACCGAAGTACTCGGAGAAAACCTGCCCCAGCGCCACTTTGTCCACCATTAATCCAACTTGACCAGACCCAGGATCGAACCCGGGCCGTCGAGGTGGGAAGCCGGCGATTAACTGCTTGAGCTATGGCGCGACCAAACATACGAGTAACTAAGAAATTTGTGCGTTGCATGTAAGAGGGACACAGCGTCCAAGAGGAGATTTAACCATAAACTGGGGCAGTAAAAATGCCCTGAACCAACTTGAGGGTTCGATATCGAGCTAAATGTATTTTCTGTCGATACAGAATTACATATCGTTCGACATAATTTATGCGCACGTATAGTCGTACAAACACACAACTTTAATATATAAAACATAATTTCTTGTGTATGGAATATTCAAGTTTTAGAGCGACCGCGCCGTCGTGCTGGAAATACAGAAGAACCGCTGCGACCGAGTCACTTCCAAGCATGGAAAGTGCAACTAAGTTAGATGATTTCAGGGCTGTATGCGGGTTCCTGTATGGTGCAATAAGACTACACAACATCGAGAGTTTAAGCGTTGACGTAAGTCGCGCTGCCACAAGGCTAAAACACTTCCTGAAGACTGATATATTTTCCAGGAAGAATCCTTTTAATTGACAGACAGTCTTCAAACGGTCTATCTATTCTCTATATAGTTAGTTAGTTATTGGAGAGGATGGGTTTCCCCATGCACTGAGACCTGTATTGGTCCATTGTACTTCCCTCTATGATTTCTACTAGTCTCTACATCCTACAGGTACTGGTGCTTACCATCAGTCCCGCCCAGCCAGCAAGACCGGCTCTACTAGCTGAGAGGTATCTATAATGCTTCCCCCATNNNNGCTGTTGGGCGGGAAACGTCCGTTAATTTGGCTCAGTGACCTCCTTTGGAGATATGAGGTTCTTTTACGTGCCGTAAAGCTACGACACGGGACCCACGGCTTAAAGTCCCTCCCGGAGGACTTGTTCCCTGAATTTTTCCGCCCTTAAAAATTCGACGACCCCCGCCGGGCATTTGAACCCGCGTACTACGAGTCATGAGGTGGGAACGTTACCTCTAGACTACGGAGGCCGCTTTATTCTCTATATAAGTTCAATAGTTTCGTTAGTCACTTCTTATTATGCCTTCTCCCAGAATTCGTTACTGCCTGGCAGAATAACAAGAAACTGTTCAAAGAAACTCTTGTAAAAAGTCACTCAGTTAATATTTAAACAGTCAAGTAGATAAGTTGTTGTTTGGTTGATATGTTACTTAGTTAGTAAGTTAATTAATAGCTCAGAGAGTTATTTAGCCAACTCTCTAAGTTATTCCGTCAGTAGTCAGCCAATTAATAATTGTTCAATTCTTCTGTCAGCCACTTAGTTATATAGATACTTATTTAGTTTCTTATATATTCCGTTAATTGTTTTGTTTCTCAGGTTAAACGGGACACGTCAGCTGTTGGTCTATGCCGATGATGTGAATCTACTGGGCGATAATGTAGATACCATAAAGAAAACCACACAAACTTTAATTGACGCAAGTAAAGAGGTTGGTCTAGAAGTAAACACAGAGAAAACTAAGTATATGTTGCTGTCTCGTCACCAAAATGCAGGGCAAACTCATGACATAAAGATAGAAAACAGATGTTTTGAAAATGTGGCACAGTTCATATATTTGGGAACAACGATAACAGATCGAAACCTGATTCAGGAGGAAATTAAGAGGCGATTGAACTCGGGTAATGCTTGCTACCGTTCAGTCCAGAACCTTTTGTCTCCTCGTCTGCTGTCCAAAATCATAAGAATTAGAAGATAAAAAACTATAATTTTGCCTGTGGTTCTGTATGGGTGCGAAACTTGGTCTCTGAGATTAAGGGATGAACATAGACTGAGGGTGTTTGAGAACAGGGTGTTGAGGAGAATATTTGGACCGAAGAGAGATGAAGTGACAGGAAGTTGGAGAAAACTGCACAATGAGGAGATTCACAACTTTTACTCTTCTCCACGTATAATTANGAACTCGGGTAATGCTTGCTACCGTTCAGTCCAGAACCTTTTGTCTCCTCGTCTGCTGTCCAAAATCATAAGAATTAGAAGATAAAAAACTATAATTTTGCCTGTGGTTCTGTATGGGTGCGAAACTTGGTCTCTGAGATTAAGGGATGAACATAGACTGAGGGTGTTTGAGAACAGGGTGTTGAGGAGAATATTTGGACCGAAGAGAGATGAAGTGACAGGAAGTTGGAGAAAACTGCACAATGAGGAGATTCACAACTTTTACTCTTCTCCACGTATAATTAGAATGACTAAGTCAAGGAGGTTGATGTGGGCAGGTCATGTAGCATGATTGGTGGAGACGAGGAATGCGTATAGGTTATTGGTGGGAAAGCCAGAAGGAAAGAGACCACTGGGAAGACCAAGGCGTACGTGGGTGGACAATATTAAAATGGATCTGAGAGAGGTAGGACGGGATGTTATGGATTGGATTGATCTGGATCAATATAGGGACCAGTGGAGGGCTCTTGTGAACACGGTGATAAACCTTCGGGTTCCATAAAATGCTGGGAAATTCTTGAGTAGCTGCAGAATTGGCGGCTCTTCCAGAAGGGCTCAGCTCCATGACTGAGTAGGTAAGTAAGTAAGCAACTTAGTAAGTCAAACAATTATATACGATAGTAACTGATTAAATATACAGTGAATAATAATTAACTCATTAGTTTCAATAGTCTACCAGTCTTTTGGTCCGTCAGTAACTCAGTTACTTCACTGATTCAGTAGTTACTTCGCTAGGTGTGTAATTACCGAGTTAGTCTCTTAGCAACCAGCCACCCAGTCACTAAGTCGGATGGCTGCTCAGTTGCATAATGATTTATCGGTATTTAATTCGTCAGGTACCCAGTTCACCAGATGGGCAGTTTGTCAGCCTTTAACATGTATTCAGATAAGTTAACCAGTTATTCTGTTGGTCCATTTATTAAGTGATTACAATAGTTAATTATTTATTCAATTGATTAGTAAGATAGCGCTGCA